CGGATAAATATCCGGCAGGCGCTGAGAGGGAAGCGGTAGGTGAAGGGAGAAGTGAAGACCCGAGCGGTCGAGTACGGGACCGTGGAGACCGATGGATCTTTCCGTAGAGCATCGAAGCCGTCGCCGTTCAAGGAGGGGGCGTACCTGGTTCCGGTGTCGCCGGTCCAGGATCGTCCGTCGAAGCTAGATGCCTGGCCGGAGGCGCCGCAGTTGAGGAGGATGTCGTCTCTTGGCATGTAATAGGGGGAGTTGTCGACAGCAACGACGACCAAAGTAGTCGTCAGCAGCAAGAAGGCTAAGGAGGCACAGAGAAGGGAACGGAGCTGCATCAGAGACCATGACTGATCCAGGAAAAGGAACCCTAAATCCATCAAAAATCGGATCTTTAACGAAGAAATCGATTGGCCTCACTCTACTCTCCGGAATTCAGCAGGGAAAATTAGCATTCAACATCTAAATCTTCAAGTCCCGCGCTCACGTTCAGCTAAAAGCAGAGGAAAACCAGCTAATATTGCATCAAAATCAACCTTGGAAACAAGGGAGAAATCAGGCGGTAGAGAGAGAGTTACCACGAAGAACTGCGAGAGAGTTGAATTGGGAGTCGCGGAGGGGAGGCGTTCATAATATGACTCGGCGCCACAATCGTCGCAAGCAATAGATTGCAAGAGTCGAGATGTTTTGAGTGAATAGGATGAAGTCTGCGTCAACACTGACTCACACGGAGTCAACATAAAGACTGGCATCCACTCGAATTTGTTATTCATATGTAATTAATCGACCAAAGTGTTGACTCAGTGGAGGACGTTTGGACTAATGAAGTATAATGAGGTTAAATTATATATATAATTATAGAAATTTTTTTATTAGATATATTTTCTCTCTTAGCATCTTCATTTCCAAAACTTTTTGCTTGCCGCCTTTGCCCTTTCATTTGTGGACGCTAGTTTTTTTCAATCAAATCAATATTTTTGGATTGTAAATTCATTAAGGGTTTATTATTAGTTTACTAAGATATGATTTACTATAGATTTAATATGATTAAGGATGATAGAAGATTATGATTGAGGATCAATGGAAAAGTAAATCTAGTTAAGTTTATTATATTTCAAATATGTCATGATCCTCAATTAACTAATATTTGAGGATCAATTAATATGATTCATGTGTATGATTAGAGGATAATCAATCCCTCCTCAAATATGTATAAATATACAATACTTCATATGAATGAAATCATCTTTTTCATAACTTGAGCAAGGCTTCCTCTTCCTTACTCTTGATAATAGTTATTCCTTTTCTCCGTTGATGTTACTAGCAATAGTGATTCCTCTTCCTCATAATTCTAGTCACAACAACGTAAATTGCACGTCGCATGTGTCTCCTTACTCCTATACCGACATCTCTTCCTCCCACTTAGATGCTTCCTCTTCCTTGCTACTTCATAATACCGAATCCTTTTCTCTGATGATGTGCCCAGCAATAGTGATTCCTCTTCCTCGCAACTTTATTCTACTTGTCATTCTCCACTTATCTTTTTCTCACCACAACACAAGTCTGCGTCAACACCGACTCACACACGGAGTCAACATAAAGACTAGCATCACTCGAGTTTGTTATTCATATGCAATTAGTCTATCAAAGACTTGACTCAGTCAAGTAAATATGTGGAGGATGTTTGGACTAATGAATTATAATGGTAGGATCTTTTTCTCATGTCACCTCAACACTTATAGAGGTTAAATTGTATATATAATTATAGAAATTTTCTTGTTGGATATATTTTTATATAGGATAAAGTTTTAGAAAAAAATATAAAATTCTCTCTTAGCATCCCCATTTCCAAAAAAAATTATTTGCCACCTTTGCCCTTTTATTCGTGGATGTTATTTTTTCTCGTTCAAGTCAATATCTTTTGGATTGTCGATTCACTAAGGGTTCATTATTAGTTTACTATGATATGATTCACTATAGATTTAATAGAAGTAAATCTGGTTGAGTTTATTGTATTCCGAATATGTCATGATCCTCAATTAACCATGATTTGAGGATCAATTAATATGATTCATGTACATGATCGGAGGACAATCAATCCCTCTACAAGTGTGTATAAGTATACAATACTTCATATGAATGCAATCTATCTTTTTCATAACTTCTCTTCTCGGAGCAAGGCTTCCTCTTCCTTGTTGCTCGATAATAGTTATTCCTTTTCTCCATTGATGTTTCCAGCAATAGTGATTCCTCTTCCTTGCAACTCTATTCTACTTGTCATTCTCCACTCATCTCTTTTTCACAACAACCTAAACCGTACTTTGCATGTCTCCTTACTCCTACAATGGCATCTCCTCCTTCTCCCACTACAAGTGACTCTCCCACTTAGATGCTTCCTCTTCCTTGCTACCTGATAATAGCGAATCCTTTTATCTGTTGATGTGCCTAGCAATAGTGATTCCTCTTCCTCGCAACTTTGTTCTACTTGCCATTCTCCATTCATCTTTTTCTCACCACAACACAAGCTGCATGCTACATGTATCTCCTTACTCCCACACTGGTGTTTCCTCCTCCCACTACAGGTGACTCTCCCACTATAGATGGCCCTCCATCGGTGACTCTCCATCGACCACCTTCTCGCACCACAAGCGGTGCTCCCTCCTCTCCAACTTTTGGCCAACAGTGTGTTCCTCACTATTGGCCATTAGCGACATAATATATCACAACATCGGGGCATATCACAGGCCCCCATAGATCTACTCGTGTCTGTTCATAGTAAATATCTGACCTTTTCTTGGAGTATAATCTGTCTTCCATCCAATGTCGACGTTTTTTTTTTCAATGCTGCATCGACATTAAACAATGTTGATCTAATTTGATAGTATCTCTTCTCCCTCAACAATATTGCATCCAACCACATCATTTGAGAAATTTAAAACTTCATAACTATAATACTCATGTTCATATATTAATAACATAAAAAATTATTTTTAAATAATATTTTGAGCTTTCACATATTGCTTTAGAAGTTTTAGATTATATATATGACATATTTTTTATAATGATGATGCATATTTATTATGCAAATATCCTAGTACTTTGATAATAACAACATTTATTTTGTCAATTGCATGATAGATATTGAGGTGGTTCTTGCATTAGTTGAGAATATATATTATTGAATATAAAATTTAACAATTATTAGTGATTAAAATCTAAAAATTCTTTCATTTATGAAGGAGATATGTTTATAAGCAATTCATGGTTGTTGCATGATTTATCTATCGAAAAATTTTATTATCGATATATGAGATAAAATGTTACAAAGTTATTTTGGGTTGTTACTAGAGCTCCAATTTTATATAAGTTTAATGAATCCATTGCAAAAATTAAGAAAATAATCTAATGAAAGAACAAATAAATATAATATTGTCACACCCCACAAATTAACACATTCAAGATGTGTGAACCTATCTTAAATCAAGAAAATTTATAATTCATCAATAATCTAATCTATGATCCAAAGTAACATTTGGGGATACTTAAATTTTTTTTAATATTATTCACATATATAAAACCTATGTAGTTTATAATCATATACTATATCACTTGAAATACTTTAAAAATATTTTGGAGCATATCAATGATATATGAAATATTTCAAATTATATCAATATTGTATGAAATATTTTGGAGCATATTAATGATATATAAAATATTTTAGAATATATTAATGATATATAAATTATTTCAAAGTATATCAATAGCGTATAAAATATTTTGGAGTATATCAAACGAACAAATAAGAAACATAAGCTCAAATATCATATTTGATGTTACATTCATTTCATTATTATCCAAAGCTTACATAAAAACTCATAAGCAATACTTTAGATATCATATAAAAATATAGAGGGTGAAATGATATCTAATTGATTATCAAATATAAGTCTTTCACGTTTGGGAACTTCATCTACCCACATCTGGATGAAGTCAAAGGGGGCTAGTAGAGCATCGCGAGCTCTAAATATAACTCTCTTTTTTTACTTTTAGTAAAGGTTTATATTATTCCACAAATACTAGAGTATAAAAGGATATTATGAACAATAAATTTAGCATGTATCGGTGTTGAATCTTAGATTTTGATTATGAAACTAATTGATAAGTGTTTATAATTTAATCTGCGTTTTGAGTGACGCAGGAAGCTTCAATCAAGATAAGACAATTAAAGCAGGAAGAATCATGTTGGGCTGGTGGAACATGTCAGAAGATTGGATGTCGAGCCGGAGGATTGGTCGACGTATCGATAGAAGGCTTCGGGCCATGGATTTAAGCATCGGGCCAAGAAGAGCGAATATTACGCCAAGGATATCGGAGTTGCAGAGTGAACTGGCTGATTGGGCAATAGGCCGCAAGAGAGGACGATACGCCAAAGAATCGGACGAAGCGTCAATGGACCAATGACATGCCGGACAACATGATTCATGCTTAGTATTAATTGTCTAGATCGAAGTGTGTTTTTATATGTGCAGGATTAACTACAATAGCAAGGCATAAAGCAAAATGAAATCCCGGAGTCAAGGACGTGATTTCATTAGGAGTTCAAGAGTTCGTCGGAAGTCCGGACGTTCATCGGAAGGTTTGCCGAGAAGTCTAGGAACTTGCTAAAGAAGTTCGTCGGAACTCGCCAAGAAGATCGTCGTGAAGTCCAGGAGCTTGCTAGGAGTCCGCCGGAACATTGCTGAGAGATCGTCGGAAGATCGTCGGAAGAAACCAAGACTTACAGACTTGTTTAGCTTAAGTATATCTTAGAATTCGTATTTAGCACATAATTGGGATTGGATTTGAGTCAACCAATTAGGGGTGAGTTGGGCCCATGTAAGGATTGTGTTGGGCCCAATGAGAGGCCCAAACAATGACCCAAGAAGTGGCACGGTCTCCGAGACTGTGTCAAGCGGTGGTACCGTCTGTCTAGGCGGTGGTACCGTCCCTGGCAGGGTGTCAGGCGGTGGGACCGCCTAGTGTAGTGTTAGTGTCAGATTGACACTGGCGGTGGTACCGCCCAGCACAGGCGGTGGTACCGCTCATACCTAGAAGACCCGGGATGAGATATTTTTAGGCTCCAAGTTTGAATCAATTTGAGGCTTATAAATACCTCTCCCATCCTTGGTTAAGTAACACAAGGACAGAGAATTTTAAAGTGAGAAAACGCTGTAGAAATCACTTGAGAAATCCCTCCTCTAGCTTAAACTTAGAATTCTATTTAGAGAGGAGTGTGAGTGCTTATAAGGGTTATCTCCTAAATCCAGTAAAAGGAGAAGAGGGGTGTAAAAGGTGGTTGGTCTTCGCCTATTGAAGAAAGACTGATAGTGGATACCGGTGGCCTCGACGGAAGAGGAATCGATAAAGTGGATGTAGGTCACGATGATCGAACCACTCTAAAATCTGGTTTGCATTTACTTTGAGTAATTTACTTTCATAGCAAACTGCCTCACCTTCTTGCTTTACATCCACTACGCTTTTCAGTATGCTTTCAAAGTTAAGATCTTTACGAAACAATTTTAACGAAATTGATTTTAATCTAAACAAAAAGTTTTAAAGACATTTTAAACTACTCTTAAAGTTTTGAAGACATATTTTAAACAAAAAGTTTTGAAGACATATTTTACATCCACTACTCTTAATGTCGATTGCTTTCCTAACAATCAGAA